CTTCTGTTCATTATTTGTGATTTTTCTTTAGACATGCTTCAGTGCTCTCCCCATCTTCTTATGTATGCTAAAAGGTAATTTTTTGTGAAAAATCCATGCATTCAATGATTTAAACTTTCAACATAAAAAGCCTATCTGGATGAAGAGTATTCAGATCTGAGATGGTTCAGAGTGCAAAGAGCCTGGAGTCGCTGTCAGTCAGAGCAGAATTTATCAGCACATTGATGGGAGATGAAGGTGGATAGGCTTTCATCCTAACCACATGTTGTCATTCTACATTACACATGATGGAATTGGCTCAGGTAGGTGGGCAAAAAAGGTCAGGTGAGATGAAAGTGACGTCAGTTAAGAGAGACAAGATTTGTGAATTTGTGTTCGATGTCTATGCAGTCCAAAGGGCAGCCAAGAACGAAGCTGCTTGTTAAAAAGACATGTTTGCCAGAATGTGTGGCAGAGAGTCATATTTATAAATTGATTTAGTTTATATAACTCCATTTAAGGTAATCTCAAGGCACTTTACAGAGACAGTTAAATCAAATTATAAAGATTGGTTAAAAGTTCTCTGTCTAAGGCAGGCTTTCTCAGTTCTGGTGTCCTGAACCTTTTAGATGTGTCTCTGCTTCCACACCCGAATCAAAATGCTGAATTACCTCCTTAGTATAAAGTCAAGTTCTGCTAATTATTTAATTATTTGACTGATGTGTTAAAGCAGATACACATCTAAAAGCTGCAGACACATTTATACAAATAAACCTCCAGCAGAACGAGTTGTGTTTGAGCGGCCTTCTACGTAGACTAACTGGGGGTTAAAGTTGGCAAAAGCAGACAAAAAAGGAAACAAAATCCAGGTCATAGTCCATTCCATAAAAGAAAAAAAAAAAACAATCCACTGGACCAAGTTTAAAGATGCAGGGGACCAAAACCTCTCTCCTGTTCAACCAGGCCAACAATTCCCCCTAATGACCCCCCATTTCAGAGGCATAGACCAGTATCGGGCACTGCAGGCTAAAAAACAACCCTAGCGACTCCCCATTCCTAAGCGGACCCGTTCGTTTTCTGAGCTAAAACAAGGCGTTATTTTCTGTCCACTCTATAAAGCATCAAAGTCAACGCTAATTCTGACCTTTTAAACAGAAAAAGCTTCCTGGGTGGGAAGAGAAACGTCTTCAAACTTGGAAACAAAGTCCAGTGGATTGTAAAATTGTTGTATAAAGATCTATACTTTCTATGCCAGAAAATATCATGGTAAACCAGCTCCATAGGTGGCTCTGTCAAGGAAAGAAACTGTTAAACAGATGAACTATGAGCTAATTTTTATATAAAAAAAAGAATTAAAAACAGCATATGAAGTTCAATCACGGTAAAAGCTGAGCCCATCACTGCAAAAAATGTAAATCTAAATAAGTAATTTTTTCTTAAAATAAGTGCATTTTTTTCTTGAATTGAGGAGGCAAGTGAGACATTTTGCCAATGGAACAAGACAGTTTACATTTGAAATAAGAAAAAACGATTGCTTAGTCTTATTTTAAGTACATATTTTCTAATTATCTTATTTTAAGTGTAAAAATACTCATTCCATTGGCAAACTATCTTATTTTCCTGCTCAAATTAAGGTTAAATATACTTGATTTAATACATTTTTAATTAATTTCTGATCGTTTTTGCAGTGATGTAAGAGAGAAAAAGGACTAAACATTAGCAACAGGCCCGCCTTTATGATCTGTAATGGAAGAGGCTGATATTAGCAGCTCAGCTGATGCCTCCATCCAGGCTGTTGTCACCTCAAAATAGTGCAGCTTGCAGATGAAGCTCCAATGAAGAGAAAAAGCAGAACATAAAGTTAAATTCACTTTTAATGCAAAATTGGAGAGTAGACACAGAATGAAGCAAAATGATGGAAATTGGTCCCTAGGTCCTTCTGCAGCCTAGGCCTATAGCTTTTTTTAAAAATTTTTTTTTTGAATTTATAAGATAGAAGATATTATTTATTTAAATGTATTGTGTGGCTTGGTTCTGATCCATAAGTTGTATGATTGATATAAGAATAATAAAAAGATATGAATTTGGACACCCATTTAGTTTTAAATTGGATAACGGTCTGAATACACTGGAAAAAAATCTAGAAATAAGTAAAAATGTCTTAAATTAAGTGTATTTACCCTAAATTTGAGTAGGTAAACGAGATGATTTGCCAGTGTAATGGGTATTTTTACTCTTAAAACAAGATATTTAGATAAAATGCATTTGAAATAAGACAATGCAATTGTCTTTTCTTATTTTAAATGTATATTGTCTTGCTCTATTGGTAAAATATCTCTTTTACAATCATAATTCAAGAACAATTGCACTTATTTTGAGAAAAAATGAGTTATATAGATTTTTATTTTTCTGGTGTAGAAAACGTCCCAATGTTTATCTCTTTGTAAACTTATTTTAAAGATATAAAACTATAACCTAGAGTATGATAGGAAAAGCTTACACAAACAAGCTCTCCAAAAATCATGAATGTTATCAGTTTTATATTGTGGGGCCATGTTCTTTAAAGCTAGAGCTTGCATTCAGATTTCTGTAGCACTGAACAAGCTTTTTAGTATAATTCTGGGGAACTCTGTGATTTAAGCTCATTGTTATTCATACATTGTTATATTTTCCCTGCTTCAGAGTAATGCGTCTGTCATTGTCAAGTCAAAACTTTACAGCAGAGGCTTTCAGGCAATCACACCTCAGACTAGCTTGTAGCTGAGCTTTTGTGATACCCTTGCAAGCCATATTGATGATGTGTAGCAACGTGGGCTTAGTTGGACACATTGTCAATCTGGGCTTGCTCCCATGATTTAGCATCCGATCTGACAGAAAATCATGCCGTAAGAGGTCCTTGCACTTAGCACTCATTGAGAGTAAATGGAGATAAACACACTTAACATGATTTTTCTGCAAAAGGGGTATGTTTTTGTTGAACTAAGCACCAATTTAGCTGCAATTTTAATGTGTCTGTCTGGAAGAGAGACACAGTTGTAAAGTAAACCACATCCGCTTTGGGGAAAATTACAAAATAAAATCTTTCTATCACAAGGGAAAACAGTCAAGCTTGCCCTATTTGGAATCACATAAAGACCAGGACACACAAAATACCCATAATAGGAGTTCAGAAGGACAGAAAACAGATAAAGTAAGACATCCTGATTGAGCTTCAAAAAATAAAACATGGTGGGACAGTACAGGAAAGTGCAGCTTATCGTTTCCTTCCTCTTTTTAAAAAAATAAAAAAAGAAACTTGAACAAACAGAATGCTCTTTGAGAATCACCTCTCAATCCCTCACCATATTTCCATGAAGCGCACCACAGCCCTTGTCGTTGTGTTGCCCTTGTCTTTAAAAGTAGCTCCCAGTATATTATTAATATAGGCCTATTTCAAACTTCTATTGGTTCTTGTTTGAGATACTGTGTGGGCTGGTCATGAAGTGGGGCTTTGCTTTGTATCTGCACTGGCTGTTTTGTTTGTTTGTTTTTTTACTTTATATAATCTGACCCATTCAAATATGGGACATTTTTATACAGTAGTTTGTAGGGCACTGGGAGAAAGGTGAAAAAAATCTACACAGATTGGGATCTGCTCACCATAAACATAGCAGCAGGCTGTCATACGCACTGCAGTCAGTGTTACATGAAAAAAAAAATCCTATCAGAGACTAAAGAGTAGGACTCAAGCAGTGTGACCTGGGCTTTAGGGAAAAAGAGGGACATTAACCAGAATGTTTGGGTGAAGCGACACTTAGTGCCTGACTAACCAATTCTGGTAACAAATGTGTCAGCAAATGCAGTGAGAAACCACAACTTAGGTTTTTATGCTGTTGTTGTACGTCTTTTAAAGATTAAATCATGGATTCTGAGAAAACAGAGGTGATTCATAATATCAAGCTACTTACAGCTATTTATCCTGCTTTTTTACAATGTTATTACATGACGACCATTAGTTTTTTTGTTTTTGTTTTTTGTTTTTTTTGTGGAACAAAGGAGCTTTTCCTAAAAGACTAATGTCTCAGCATGATCTGGAAAAACTAATCCATGCATTTATTTTTAGTCGAATTGATTACTGCAACAGTGTTTTCACAGGTCTGCCTAAAAAGTGGATCAGACAGCTGCAGCTGATCCAGAACGCTGCTGCCCATGTCCTCACTAGGACTAAGAAAGTAGAGCACATCACCCCAGTTATAAAGTCCTTACACTGGCTCCCTGTATCTCAGAGAATAGACTTTAAAATACTTCTGTTAGTCTATAAATCCCTGAATGGCTTAGCACCTAAATACATCTCAGACTTGCTATCAGTGTATCAACCCTCCAGACCACTCAGGTCTTCTGGCTCCAGCCTGCTCTGCATACCTAGAACCAGAACTAAACATGGAGAAGCAGCATTTAGTTCCTATGCTCCACTTATCTGGAACAAACTTCCAGAAAACTGTAAAAGTGCGGAAAGCCTGAGTTCCTTTAAATCAAGACTAAAAACACATTTGTTTAGGATTGCCTTCGACTGTTCTAGTTAAACAGTTCAACTGAAACATATTTTCTTTAGTCCAACAGTTTTTAATGTTCTTTTTTGTTTCTGCATTTTTTATTTTATTTTTTATTTTTTCCTACTTGCTTTGATTCTGTTTTATCTTCCTGTATCTTAATCATTTAAAGCACTTTGCATTGTCTTTGGACTGAATTGTGCTATACAAATAAATTTGCCTTGCCTTGTCTTTCATTTCTCAGCTGCTTTTCTGTTAAATTCGGGATGCAACAACATGTGCAATACATACAGTGTATTTTAGTATTTAATTAAATTTGACAAAGATTTTCAATAACATGGATCAACTTCTTCAACAAAGCTATTTTATTATTTTTGTATTATCTTAGCTGATATTATTGGATCAGATATTAAAATGCCATCTTCATTATAAATAAAAAAACCTTAATATGCCAGATATTTTTAAAGTTTACTTTTTTTCCTTCCCTTTCAGCACTAAAAGACGCCCGCTTTCAGCTGGTGAACTTCTCTGACAACGAGCTGCGGGTGTCGCTGTCTAACGTCTCGCTGTCAGACGAGGGGCGATATGTGTGCCAGCTCTACACAGACCCCCCGCAGGAAGCCTACGCCGACATCACAGTGCTAAGTACAACATCAAAACACACGCACGCGCCCACATACACAACCACAGCAAAACCACAGGGTTTCCTTACACAAACACACCAACATTCAGTCACTTGTTAGCAGGAGGTAAAACCTCTAATCACATTTCATCTGAGAAAAATATCATACAGTACTTTCACATGGAAAACAGTAAACAACAGGAATTTTTAATGTTGATGCATTTTCTTTTCATTTTTCTTTGTTTAAATGATTAAAAGATTTAACAATGAGGTTGTTTGCTGCAGAGTTCTGTCACTAAGACCAATTTTGAATATCAAACTTTTGATCAAATATTTAAGCCAATGAAGTAAATCTGATTGTAAATATGTCAAAAAAGAAAGATTTTGAAAATAAAACATGGTGCACAGCTATTTATCCTACTTGTTTACAATGTTATTACATGAAGACCATTAGTTTTTGGGTTTTTTTTGCAGAACAAAGGGAGCCTTTCCTTTCTTAGCTCCTTTTCTGTTACATTTTGAGATACAAGACTATGTACAATAATGCAATATCTGTTACAACAAGCAAACATGAGTTCTCCTGATGTTTTGTAAAGAATTTGGTTGGGTTATTTTGGACAGATGTTGATACAATTAATCTGAGTTGTAGTCTTAGGGCATTAGAGGGGAACACCACAGGAATTGTTTCACTGCAAAAAACATCTAAAAATGAGAAAAAATGTCTTAAATTAAGTGTATTTACCATGACTTTGAGTAGGTAAATAAGATAATTTGCCAATGGAATGAGTATTGTTAGTCTTAAAATAAGATAATTAGATAATATGAACTTGAAATAAGACAATGCATTTGTGTTTTCTTATTTTAAATGTAAATTGTCTTGTTCTATTGGCAAAGTGTCTCAATTACCTCCTCTTATAGACTTATTTAGATTTCAATTTTTTTGCAGTGTTATGATCCTGTTTCTAAAAGAAAAATTTAATGACCAAAGATACACTGACTGCGAATGTGGTTTAAATTTCTGACAACACCGGTTCATCACTTGAGGATTCATTTGATCAGTATTTTCAAAATCTGTCCTGAAATGTTATATTGACTTTAGAGCCCTTTGTAAGGGAAGAAAGGAAGTAAGGAAAGAAGTAAACAATAAAGACAGAAAACAAGGAAATAAGGAAGGAAGGAAACAGCGGGCTTTGTTAGTAACTCGGTGTACTTTACATGCTTTGCTAACATTTAGTCTGTTTTTTAATTAAAACATTCACACCTTTCTAACTAAGTTTAAAATCGAATTGCTTTGTTCTGATTACTTTGCCTCTTAGAGAGTCCAATGTGTTTAGTATGAGTGTCTTTATCCAAAGACACATTTAAATGTTCAAAGACATGTCCTGCAGCTCTGCTTGGCTTGAAAAGCCAAACCTTTGTATGAACTCTGAACATGTCCTCAGATGATGAAACCAGTTTCCTTCTCTGTGGCATTCTAAGTGATTCTTAAGGTCAGCTGTCATCTACAGTTTCTGCCAACGCACTGGTTAAAGAGCAGCTTCCTTTGACTGTGTTTTCTGCTTTAACTTATCCCACTTTTGGAGATTAAACAAATCAAACATTTTTAAATGCATCTTTTGGCAAATTGATGTAATATTATACTGTATATTCCTACAAATGCATGTGTTGTGAGTTTTTTTTAAGAAACGTTTCTGCTTTCTTAGTGTCATACTCTGAATCCATACATACTCTTTATGTCCTGTCTCAGTTCCTCCAGGTAACCCTGTCATCGAGGCCAAGGATGAGGTCCTCAGTGAGGGCAACGAGACAGAAATGACCTGCACTGCCATGAGCAGTAAGCCTGCAGCCACCATTAAATGGATGAAGGGAGATAAGGAGCTCAAAGGTGGGCAGAGAAAACACAGACACTGAGATTACCTCTGCCCGGTCAATAATGAGGCAGACCAACATCATCAAGCTAATATTCCTGCATCACAATGAACTCTGGGATCTTTAAAGAGCAGGTTTAACAGTTTAACAGATGACTTTGTAAAGAAAGTAAATAATGAGAATAGCTTCTATGCAAACAGAAAAAAAACAAAGGTAACATTTTGAAATTCACCCTGGCAGAAACAGGCCAGGGATGAGCTGATAAAGGCCTAATTTGATCCACGATTAATTATGCATTCGAATGAGTATAGAACTGAATCTGTTTGCATTGAGCTGACATATCTAGACCAGCCCACAAAATATAAAAGAGGCTGCAACAGGAATGGATCAGTGATATTACAGACAGTTCCTACAGCATCCAAACACTCAATCTAAATAGTTTCATTTCTCAATTTGTGCTGATGAAATCAGTTCTTCACGTTTTCACTACTGCAAAAAAAAAAAATACAAATTTATTCTATACAAGTTTCCTCTAAGCTGGGCCAGAGGAAAGATCCTCACCTAAGAGGAGCTTGAGGCAGGCTCATAGAGACCAATAACCAGATAAAATGTAGAGAGTAGTGTTAAAAACTCCAGTTTATATATATATATTTTTTATCTCAGTGACTCTGCCCAGTAGCAGTAAAAAATGTATCCTTCAGCATGAAGTAAAAATCAAATACGCTTAGAGTAACTGGATCTCTAATCACTATGATGTGTGTTTTTTTATAAATATAATACTTTTCATTGTTTAGGTTGATCAGTGTGACCATTGAAACAATAACTGATTCATCCTAAAAGCTTTGTCAAACACAATATGAGCTGCAACTATTAGATGGAAAGTTTAGGCTAGCCTTGGTTAAGGTGTGCCTAGAATCTTTCTATTTTCACTTAATGTCTTTTGAACACCTAACCCATAAACGGATGTCAACTCGGCTCAAATAAATTCAGTTGGTGTGTTCTTATAGGATGGTTCCCTATAGGAACTGCTCTATAGAAATGTCCTATAAAGTCTGGCTGCTTCACAAACAGCAAAACGACTCAGCTCCTTCTAGGTTTGCTGTAACCCTAAGGTCAATATTTGGAAGCTGGCAGAGACCAGAAATGAATTCACTCTCTTTTTGTAGTTTATTTAACACAAACCAACATCAACCCTAATTTTTTTCCGGACTGTTTCATATCTCAAATTCAGAAAAGAGCTTGCTGTGGTCCAACATTGAGGAAGGTGACACAGATTTCAGACAGGATCACTATTAGCCCTGCTCACTAACTAACATAGGGCTGTGTCCAAACTAGAGACTGACACGGGAGTGGATTTTCACTCCTGCCCCGTCCCATTCCCACAGAAAAAAATTGTGTCCCATCTCGATCACGGGCCAGAGTAGAAATCTAAATCCTGTCCGGTCCCACTCCTGGTGAAATTACTCCCATTCCCATCCTGCTCCCATTCAGAATGACTCCCCCTCCCGCACCACTCCCATTCTTGTTCTCTTCAATAAAATTTCTGCCAATACATTGAATCTGAATTTCTATGAAGGGTCAGTTAAGTTCCTGTTTCTAACTGTAGTAACTGTTGGTCCCTCCATTGTTGTTTTTGAGCGCGGGTGAAAAACTCAGAGCGAAAGCACTGTTGGTTTTTGGGTCGTGTAGTTTTTTTGACTCGCATTATAGTGTAGGCTTCAAGGAAAAAAACTACAAAATGGCGGCACCAGTACTGGATTTTTTTTTCTTTCTATTATATTTTATTTTTTGGCATCTATCCTAGTTTTTTTTATTTACTATTGGTTTGCTCCTGCTCCCGTCTGCTCCCGCTAATGTTTAATCCTGTACCGTCACAATCACGTGATCGTTACTAATACTGACTCCCATCCCACGGGAATCCCACGAGAATCCCGTGACCCGTTGGATTCCCGAAAAAATGTCAGTTTCTAGTCCAAACATCCACCTTCACCCCTAAATCCCTCAATCCCTACATAGAGCGGGGACTATATAGTGGACTTTATAATTAACTCAGTTAACTGACCGTTCGGACAGATGATCACACCTTGCACTCCCCACTGGTCACATGGACTCTATAATGTTCTATCTCGCCCCCAAAACAGATCCCATGATGCTTTGCAAGGAGAACTATTGCAAAGCATACTTTGATATATCTGTTTGTCTCGTGACCATGGATGCCCAATACTTATCAAGGTTCATTTTAGGACATTTTAAGTCCAGTACTTTTTCATTCACTCAAATTAAACACAGAGTGAAATAATTAAGATTTTAAAATAAACCTACCTGGTTTACCTACTTTCATTTGTTTAATTTTATTATTTTAATGGTATATTAATTATCTATTTTTCCACTGATTAAAATTCTAATGGTATTTATTTATTAAAAGTGATTAAATAAAAAAATAGTACATTTACTTTTTATGTTTTTTTTTATTTTATTATAGATTCACATTTAGATGTGTATTTATCTTGACCCTTAACTGACATTTAGAGTATTTGTGTTACACCTGTTGCTAAGGCTAAGGCCTTATTTTATAGGTTGAAAATGTTGAGGTTTCCTATATGTTGCTGCTACAGGTTTATACTTTACTTTACTACTCAACCATAACCCAATCAGATTTAGTATACACTAAACACCACAATAAATAAGGATAAATAAAGCAAATCAAGATCTTTTAAAAGCTCTAACAATTACCAGTGCATACTCAACCAATGCCTAAACTTAACTCACAAATTAGTCCTTAACCTAAGGTGGCAAAAAAGGAAGTCAGCTGATGATAGTTTTAAAATCTTGCTGTGTAAACCAGGCATGTGAAATGTCTCTCAAAGCCATTTAAAGTCGTAGGGAAGTCATATTTAAATCTCAAATAATTCTGGCTTAAACATGTATATAAATGTACTCTTTATCAGACCATGTTGTCCCAAAATTAAGAAAATGTTTATTCAAAAAAAATCCTATCTTAAAATCTGTTGGGGGTTTTTGTTATCTTATGCCAGCCAGTTAGTTATACGTCAACATGTACGCCTAAAAACGGTCATCTGTCAATCAAATTTTTTCGGTCATAGCATCTTGATTCATATGTCGCAGCTAATATACGAAATGGTTGAAGTAAGAATCATTTAGTTTCCCATTGCGTTCCGTCCCAGTGTTCACGGGGATGGACGTCTGTGTCTTCGGCAGGCGTAGAGCTAACAGAACTGGCAGCGTTGCGAGGCAAGGGCTCAAACATGTACGGCTGGAAGCCTTCTACACCAAACCAAGCTTCTGCCGCCCTGGCGTCCTCTCCCA